AGCCGTGGCCCAAGAGGAGGGGCGGGGCTGGGTGGGGCGTTTGCGGGGAGCCTGCGACCCCCGCGCATGCGCCGCCTGGGCCTGAGGCTCGCACCGCAGCCCGGGTTCTAGTGGGAGCCCCGGAGTCCCCCTGAGGCTGGGTACCCTGGTCGCTTGTTAGGAAGAAGGGCGCCGCTAGGGGAAGGCACGCTGCGAACAGAGGGCTCTTCTGGCCTGGGTGTCAGGCGGCAGCGGCTCAGGGAGCGCTCGCCACGTTGTCGCAGGGCCTCGCCAGGCGCTGTCGGGTCTCCTGTCAATGTGTGGTTTTCCACGCCACCGCTCCCTCCAGACTGAAGGTGGGAGGAGGAAAAGGCCATGATAACACCAAGGCCCCGGGTTCGGATCCCACATAGGGATGGCCGGTTCGCTCACTGGCTGAGCGTGGTGCTGACAACACCAAGTCAAGGGTTAAGATCCCCTTACCGGTCATCTTTTTTAAAAAAAAAATTATAGGTTTAAGCCATATAACAGTGGCTTAAACTAGAAGATGATTCCTCATGTAAAACATGTCCAGAGAAGGGCAATCCAGGACTCCTAGAGGGGTGTGTCTGTGTCAGAAACCTAGGCTTCCTCTCTTGTTCCACATTTTCAGCATGTGACTTCTATCTCACAGTCCGAGAACTCCAGCCATTACATGCTTACTCCAGCGAGCAGAAATGAGCAAGAAACACGGAAGGAAACAATGCCTCCTTCGCCCCTTTGAGATCGCTTACAGGCCATTCATGCACTGACACTTCCCACTGGCCAGGACTCAGGAGCGGATGCGGTGGGGGGCGGGCCCAGAACGATCTCAGCATTCAGCTAATTCTAATATCACCTCTGACGTTTGGGGAAAGAACATTTGAGGAAATTTAGGGGGAACAAACGCCAAGGGGGAGATGACACACTCCACGCTGCCCGGGCCGACGGGCCACGCCTCCCGGCCCGGGGCGGAGTTGACGCCGCCGAGCCCGCCCCGGCCCGCGCCCGCCAATCGTGCGGTGACCGCTCGTTTCCATTCGGGAAGCCATAAAAGG